CCAGTGTTAAACAATGTACATTTTTCGGGTATTTTGGGGTATTTTGGGATATATATAACAAACGGAAGTACAGATTTTATAGAGATGTTATAGAGAAAGTATGATTGATAATAGGAATTTAACACAACAAATTGTAAATCTTAAGTGGGACGATTACAATCGCTTTTCCGCGAAGACATTTTTACAGCTTGAAAAAACGTTTAATGTATAATTACAAGTGTTTCTGTGTCAAGTTTTCGGCAGTGGAAGGTATTTTGTATTAACGTCTCCGTTCGAAAAAGTCAATGACAAAAGTATATATACCGCGCACTGGAGGAGGAATGAATGCACCGCAAAAGCAACCAGGAGCTACGAAGGATGGGGGAACTGGCTTACTTCCGGTTCGCCTATTCGCGCCACCATCCGGCACGAGCTGCATTCTCACGCTCATCTACATACTTGGCTATACATCAATATTCGAGGCGGCCAAAAAACGGATCTCGCTTTGCATATCGGACCCCCCGCTCGTGTCGTTTCTTCTTTCGTACAGATCTCAGTGGGACATCGCGTGGCGGATCCTGAGAAAGGAGTTGCGCAAAATACACCCCGCGGACTACCGTTCGAGACTTCATCGATTAACTCATGAAGAAAATGGACCCATGATGTCGAGAATTAACGCAAAGCAGTTACGCTAAATGAAGCATAAACATGTTTAATCAAAATTTTTTTTACTACAGTTCATATCTTAAAACATTCGCTTTTTAAAACATAACGCGATTTATCAATCTCATTATTTTATTTGCATAATCTAAAAATGCATTCAATCTAAATTCATTAAGGAATCTACAAATAAAAATAGGTAAGTGATCCAGAAAGATTTCCGCCGTGACTGAAGACATTCATGCCGAGTAGTTACCCCTTTTTTGCAAGAAGTTTAGATCATAAATTAAATCAATATTTAGAAGCCAGAAACGCGTTTTAATCGTAGAGACAACATGCGGTTAGTTGTTTTCTTACAAAAAAGGCTGACTCTTCGATTCTTCCACGTAATTATTATTCCTTACAAAAGATCACGAAGTATGGCGCGAGCGGTACATTTGTACGAGCCTGAGCGAAGGAATGTGGATTGCGTAATTTAAATAATTCAAGAATGACCCTGACCTCGGTTAGACTACGGGGTGACCTGCAGCCGGCGATTACAATCACAATGCACCGCCAAGTTCTCAGGGTAAGACAGGTAGCGCCGTCTGACCCGCATACATTAAATCGAAATCGTCAGGTCTGCGCACCAACGTATATAGATATAAACATATAGTATGTATATGTATATAAAGAAAGAGAAAAAATTTCCAAAAGAGCAAACGAGACTACAGCATACTTCAATCAGTTAATCATAATTTAACATTTTTTTTTTAAGTTATAATTACTCAAGGTGTTTTCCGTCTGCAAATTCTTCAATCTGAAGAAAAGCACAAAGGTAGAGAATAAAAAAGTAATTTGATGAAAAATCAAGTGCTGAGAGTTTCGATTAGAAAAAAGAATCGATCTTGAAAGAGGCAACGGTTGCGTCGTTCTCTTGCGTTGCATTATCGTCGCGCTGAAAGCAGAAACTGGACTTATCCTCCATGATACACGCGTAGACCGAAAAGAACCGAATATTTAATCGGCGTGTATTTAAATGGCGCGATTCGTTACATTAACATAACGGTAAAGCAATTCCGGATGTCAAAGCTTGACTGCGTTCTACGTTCAAGGGTCTGCATCTCGTCGAAATCCCACGGTGAGAAGTTAAATTGTTCGACCTTGAAATCAGCAATTTCGAATATAGAAGGATAGCTGATGTTTTCTAAACGACATGCAGGACGCACACGGTGTGGAACTCCGTGAGAAATTATAAACGATCAAAGGCTTTTCGACAATTGGAGATATGCAAAGTAGGATTCACAAAATATGCAGCAACCGTTGTATATATCGGTTATAGAAAGACACGATGCGAAACCTTATGCAAATAATATAAGAGGCATACATACAGACAGAGAGAGAGAGAGAGAGAGAGAGAGAGAGAGAGAGAGAGAGAGAGAGAGAGAGAGAAACTTGTGCGAAGAGCTGTAAATTTATAGTATGCTTATTACTTCATTAATATATTTGTTGCACATTCCTCATCATTCTTTATAAATTTTCTGTTAGATAATTTTGATTATTAAAATAAAATATAAAACTTAAAGCGAAAAATATACAAAACAATGTTTGTGAATAAATCAATGTGAGAAAATACTTTTTCATTAAATCTTTCGCAGCGACAATTTATAAACAAATGATTTCCGCTATAAATATAATTATTTCATGGATATATTTATGAATTTAATATAAAAGTAATATAAATATATAGCATACTTATATATTTATATTAGTATTATATTATATAAGCGTATATATATTTGTAATTAAACTCGTTTGTAATTTATTTATAAATTCAAATAACATACTGTTGCACTTTATAAATGACGACGCAATTAACATTTCCATTTCATCGACAAAATTTGTTATACATTCAACGTATGATGTTAGTTACCATAATCCGATAATTAAGTAAATTCAGCTACAACACTGACTAGCTGCTCCCAAAATTCAGCTCGTTTAATAATTACAACATATTGCGGCAAATCATCATACTTTGTTTGTAAAAGCTGTTGCGAATGTAGAGAATGATTAGGTTTTTTTAGCTTCTAAAAGAAGTTATATTTTAAATCAAATTTTAACATTTAATTCAAATTTATACAAACATAAATTTAAATTATATAAAAAAAACCATATAACAGCAGAAATATGTTAATATTTGCATATTTAAATTAGAACCAATCTACTGCTCTACGCATCGTACGATAATAACAAAAGAATTCAAGTGGGCCTACGACAGTGTTACTCGAGTCAGTTATTCTAATTGAGTATAAATTTATATATTTATTTCCTGTCAACATCAATATCGTGCGAATTATTTACGAGCAATCTGGGACATATCGATCGTATCGTAAAATAAGAATGACGGAAAATATTGCCGATCAACGACCCTCTTTATAAACAGCACTGCTAAAAATATCCAACATATCTAATAAAACAGTTTTAATCGAATTTATCGCGAATCTTTCGAATAACGGGAATTCATCGGAAATTTATCGAGAACGGTTTTATCGAAAGTCGCGTGTACACATCGAATATCACGTAGAGAATTAATTGAAAGCGCATCATATCGATTTTAATTGACTAAAAATGTCTCATTTTGTCGAACGCCGCGATGCGGCGCGCGTTGCTTAATAATAGCACGCGATCGAGACTCATTGACGAATAGCATAGACGGAGCAGAATTAACGTTTCGATGCTCGGAACTAAACGGCTGAAGGGTTGTAAGCTGGTATGCAGATGAGCCGACATGGTCGACCCCGGAGGCGGATGTTGGCAGTCTGTAGCTACGTAGACAATAGGCCAGTGCCATTATGTCCGTCGAATCCTAAAACCCCATAGAGTCGTTCTTCTCTGTCTATTATCCCGCTGGTGGCAGGCCACATTGTGTATCCGGCCTGCCACGGGACTACGGCCATTGTCGGTCCACCTAATTATTCGCAAATCTTCCGCTCGTTGCCGGTAGCTCCCATCCTCTAACTCGCGAAATTCCATCGCTTCTAAAGCTACCCGGTTTGGTTGCGATTTACCCGACTCTCTCTCTCTCTCTCTCTCTCTCTCTCTCTCTCTCTCGCCCCCTCGTTTTCCTACCCAATCAAATTTCCGTGAAATCAGATATTTAATGACTGATAATATTCTCGTGCTCTCTCTCTCTTCACCTCTTTCTCTCTTTTAATCTTGTATTGTAGAAGACGTTTTTGGGACAAAGTTTGCAACGACGTAGATTA